ACTTTTCGATATCAAGGACCACCAAATATGTTCCCATCGCTTAGGCCTCTCTTACAAAAATGTAGCTGTTTTAAATAAAAATAAAACAAATTTTTTTTTTATTCCTGAAAATAACAATTAATGGATATGTGTGAAAATGTGTGATTTTGTAACAGAAAAGACAATATGTTATTTGGTAAATTAGCTGAATTTATGTTGTTACTGTACTAAAATCTAAGCAAATCATTAAAATATTATTTGGAAAATATTTACTTTTAGTAGATACAGTATTTATTCTATATAACCTTACATAAACATTTTTAAGTACAATTTTCTAAATATAATTTCATTTTCCACACACCCCTTTTGTGACCCATCAAATTTTTTGGACTCTAGTTTGTTTGAAAACTGCTGCTCTTTATAACATCAGCAGTCACATTTATATATAAAAAAAAAACAAAAAAGGGTGTGAATGAAGGTGAAATTGGACATGACTCATGAGGTTGTAAAATGAAAACAGAAGCTTGGTTAAACCTCTTTTTCTAGCACATATACCTGTTAATATATAACTAGGCTTCTATTAAACCAAAGACCTGAATGTAACACATTTAAAAGGACCAAATAGAAATGCTGATGATCCGTATGTGCAGAAACTCAAGAGTTGCACTGACATCTACGTGTATTTGTGGGTGGGGAATTGATTAATCATTGTCACTGTGCTTTGATTATCTTTAAACCCAGTTCAAACATGACAGTCTATATGTCATAAACTATGGCTATGGCTGACTAAACTATGGCATGATGAATGACATTTGAAAACAAACATGCCATGTGGCAAGCTGAATCATACAGGTGACCACCATCCCTTTTAATGTAAATAATGATTATTCCGTCCGTCCGTGTGCGTGTGTTCTGGCCGGTGTTCTCGTGATTCGGTAACCGGGGGAAGATGGCGGACCCGGCGGAGTGCACCATTAAAGTTATGTGCCGTTTCAGGCCATTGAATAGCTCGGAGGTGACGAGGGGGGACAAATACATAGCCAAATTTCAGGGAGAGGACAGCATCGTGATCGGGGTGAGTGATATTTTGGGACGGAGTTATTTTGTATCATTTACTTTTCGGTTGATCTCGCGCGAGCGACTAATGCTAATGACCGCAGTCCATCAGAACCAGAATTTGTCACGACCTGTTAATCTGAATATTTGACACCGACACCAGCCTCTGCATCCGGTCCGGTGACACCCGAAACTGACCGTTTAATTCGGACATAAATGTTAATTTAGTTAATTTCAATGTCGTTTCCTCATGAGCTTCATGCTAACCGTGTTAGCCAGCCCTGCACATTCAACGCGGAAACACAGTTAGTTTTACACTTTTAGGACAGCAAAAGCTTATTTTATTTATTTACTCAGTTTAAGATATGTAGTGGTTGCACATTGTAGGTTTAGATTATTATTTTATACCTATAATTGTAAATTAGGGTGTGGATATTTGTTGAATGAGCAGGAAACTGTATTTGTACGTATTTGTGGGCGTTTGTAAATACTGAGAGAAAATCTATATCAGGAATGTTTTCAAACTTTTCGATATCAAGGACCACCAAATATGTTCCCATCGCTTAGGCCTCTCTTACAAAAATGTAGCTGTTTTAAATAAAAATAAAACAAATTTTTTTTTTATTCCTGAAAATAACAATTAATGGATATGTGTGAAAATGTGTGATTTTGTAACAGAAAAGACAATATGTTATTTGGTAAATTAGCTGAATTTATGTTGTTACTGTACTAAAATCTAAGCAAATCATTAAAATATTATTTGGAAAATATTTACTTTTAGTAGATACAGTATTTATTCTATATAACCTTACATAAACATTTTTAAGTACAATTTTCTAAATATAATTTCATTTTCCACACACCCCTTTTGTGACCCATCAAATTTTTTGGACTCTAGTTTGTTTGAAAACTGCTGCTCTTTATAACATCAGCAGTCACATTTATATATAAAAAAAAAACAAAAAAGGGTGTGAATGAAGGTGAAATTGGACATGACTCATGAGGTTGTAAAATGAAAACAGAAGCTTGGTTAAACCTCTTTTTCTAGCACATATACCTGTTAATATATAACTAGGCTTCTATTAAACCAAAGACCTGAATGTAACACATTTAAAAGGACCAAATAGAAATGCTGATGATCCGTATGTGCAGAAACTCAAGAGTTGCACTGACATCTACGTGTATTTGTGGGTGGGGAATTGATTAATCATTGTCACTGTGCTTTGATTATCTTTAAACCCAGTTCAAACATGACAGTCTATATGTCATAAACTCTGAAGATTTTTTTTTCTATGGCTGACTAAACTATGGCATGATGAATGACATTTGAAAACAAACATGCCATGTGGCAAGCTGAATCATACAGGTGACCACCATCCCTTTTAATGTAAATAATGATTATTTCATAGAGCAGTTTTTCTTGTACGTCCTCTTCAATTTCACAGATCTTTTATTATGTTGTTAAGGGTCGGGTATTCCTGTCTGCTTACAGTGTGTGTACGTTCCTGAAAGACGGCTTTGAAATGGATATGTTTGTTTTTGTTCATTGCTCGCTCTCTTAATGGTCCTCTTGTGTGTGTGTATGAAGATAATGTGAGAGAATGCCCAGGAATTGGAGACTCCTTCAGGCTTATCCACAGTAATTTGAAAAAAATGAAAAGAGTGTGTGTAAGCACTAGAAGGAAGGTGAGATAATGATTTGGAAATAGAGAGCGCTCCACCCTGTGCTACCCCTGGGACTCTGTGTGTCTAAGTGAGATGAGAAAATAGTTAGGTAAGAAAGTGCCTCAATCAGAACTCTGGGAATTTTTTCTCTTCTCACAAGAGACTGGCCTTGGTTCTGTATCAGTGTTGTGTTCAGGCCAAGCATAAGAGTACATGATGGCCAAGCATCATGATGTGCTTTGTAGATTGAAATTGATAATCTGTTTCACAGATGTTGACACTTTTCTACTTCATTATCCGTTCATAAAACAAATATATAAATATGTTTGCAACAGTACTTTTATTAGATACAGCTTTTATTAAATGCATTAACAATCATATAAATTATTGTTTTGTTAATAATAATGTTTATTTAATTGTTGTATTATTAGTTTGTTATAGTGTCAAAATGACACTATAATGCAAAACTGATTAAAATGTGTTTTGAACACTTATAAATCAGCGGTACAGGTTGATCTCTTGTGCATTACGGACAGGTTGCTGTTAAACTGATTGAGTACAGGAACATGTATTATTTGAACATGTGTTTAGTGGCAGTCACTAGTCTTCCCCCACTGCACATTTTAGAGACTTTCAGCCACAGCAAAAACATGTTAAAAGAGTCTGTAAACCAGTGGTATGCTCGTGAAAAGCTGTTAAACATTACATTTCCGCTGTCATTCCCTCTAGACTTTGGTCATCTTAAGGCAGTCATTTAATCCTGATCTATCAAATGAGTCCCTTATTTTTGCCATACTATAGCATATTGATTGGTAATAATACTGAATTGCTGGCATATTCCACAGAGGTTTGCATCTTGTTTAGGCTAGGCTTAATTTAGTTGATAAAGTATTCATCAACTTTTTTTTTTTATTTGAATAAGATTAAGTGAATCTATCATTGAACTGATGATTAAACAATTAGGTAGGCTGCTTCTTGTCACAGTAAAGATATGGGACCCAATGCTTAACCTGCAATAATAGTGCAATGTTTGCACACTTATGGTTTGACATTGCTCTGATAAAACAAGGTATCAAAGATCATTAACCATTAAGCTACTATCACCCCAACTGGAAAACTTAATAAAACATCATTAAATGGTCATGCTTCATTTAATTGTCTTTTTTATTATTTGCTAAATTATACATTAAAGTCCGCGTGAACCGGAAGTTGCTGCCGACTTTATTTCAGTGTAGTGACGTATTTCCATCTGAAACGGAATATTGAATAGAGGGCATGGTTTTATTTTTGCGCTCCTCCTCTCTGTCTCTCACTCATAGCAAACTAACGGTTGGAGGGGTGTGTTTAAAAGGATATTCTGCCCAAGCCGTCAAACTGACATCATCAGAGAAGGACTGCCATTCCAGAGCAGAAGCAAATGATCAGATTTTGATTAAAGATTACCAAGACAAACAATTTTTTTCAGCGGATTAACTTGCACGGATTAATTGTTCACATCAAGACTAGCAATGTGCGCTAGTAAAGTAAATAGTCAATTTTGATTTCATGCCGACATTAAGAAATCATTTATTCACATTAAGGTTATACTTGCAATAAAATGTATTATTTCATTTACGTTTATGTAAACAGCCTTAGCCTTAGCTTAAAGGTATTATATTGTCAAAACTGAAATTTCCTGACTTTTTTCATGATAACTGAGGTCTAAGGGCTATGTAACTACCATATAAGTTTCAAAACCTTCAATCCACAGACAAATGCACACAGCCTGCATAAAGTAGCTGTGCCTTTTCACGAGCCGTTGTGACTTCCGTAAAAAGGTGACGTCAGAACTACACAGTCACCGCCTTCAGTCACCCCGACCACTGCCCACAGTCCCACTCTCCTTTTGCCAAACCCCCAGACAACATCTTGATAAAAGTGATAGCACAGATGTTTATAATGTTACAAAAGTTTTCGATTTCATATAAATGCTGTTCTTTTGAACTTTCTATTCATGGTATCCACAAAAACATTAAACGGAACAACTGTTTTCAACATTCATAATAAAAAAGTTAAAGACTGCTAAATGGCTGCAAAAAATTCAGCTTTGTCCTCGAAGGAATAAATTAAATTTTTTAATATATTACACATTTGAAAACAGAATACAGTTATTTGAAATTGTGTAAAAAATAAAAAAAAGACAATTTACAGTACTTTAATCAAATAAATGCAGCCATGGATTTTTTTCAAAATTATGTAAAAAAAAATCTTAAGGTTTTGCATTGTAGTTCAAATATGTTTTTTTGTTGTTGTTGTTCATTCTCCTTTGTGCAGTGTACCCAGCATGGTTAGTTTGGAGGAAACAAAGCTGTACATTGGTGTCGACTATGGTAAGCCAAAACTGGGGAAGTTCACAGTAAAACTCTGCTTATGAAACCTGTTGTGATGAATGTCCAGTTAGAATAACTTGTTGTGCATCATGATGATAGAATAGGATATCAGCTTCTCAGTAAGTCATTGCTGATTTTTCCAGATGAGTCCAGAGAGAACTACCGTGAGGCCATCTGTAAAGTGATGAGACAGTTGCTTCGTGAGTGATCCTCATTTAGAACACCTTCCAGCACACAAAATTTACTTAATCTACATTATCCACAATTCTTAAGACAAGCATCTTCTAATTTTCTTCTTTAGATTACATTCTGGAACACTCAGAGGATGACACCAAATCCCTTTTCGCCATTATCAAGGTAAGTGTACACAGTAGATATACGTGCAAAATGAATTGACCATTGTTCATTAAGTTTGTATTGGATCTAGGGTTGGGCCGATAGACGATGCCATCATCCATCGCCGATGGCTGATAGACTTCACGATGTTGAGCCGGCATCGTGATCCTCCCATCCCCCCCTCCCCCTCATATACCCCCCGCAATCCGGGCGCATCCCAATACCATGTTCGGAAAGAAAACGGCATGTACTACGGAACCCCTAAAGTTAATAAATACGAGATGAGAGGAAAATATATATTTCAGTATTTTCTCTCGCAGTTATATCACTGGGTAATTATACGGCATCAGGATCGATTGCGGGCATCAGGCAGGGAGCCGCTATTATGCCTGGCATTGAAACTGCTTTTGAACGCGCGATTTTTGTTTCACTTTCATTTTCAAGATTCGTGATCGCACATACTTTGTTTATACTATGGAGCAGCAGTACTTACCACACATTTTACAAGATTAGATGTTGCTCAGGATCTGCAATTTGCCATCGTTCTCGGTCATCTCTCCTTACTCTGTTTATGTGGTAAGTGAAATTTTATGTAGCCTACTGTAATATAACAGGCATTATGTAATGTCCGCAACCCGTAAGTAAACTTTTCACACATTTTACGTTACATTACGGAGCCAGCATAATCTGAAATTATAGTTTGTAAACGGTTATGCAACGCTAACATGATGCTAACGTGTTGCTAACTTGATGCTGACGTGTTGTATCAGTAGGAAAGCAATAGTTACGTAGATTACTGCATTCGGTTTTTGAAAAAAATTAAATAAATAAATAAATTAATTACCATTCTGAAACATCCTGTTGTAAGCGCATTTGATGAGGTGGTTGGTTGTCGCCTGTCGTCGCCGATTCGGGGTCTGAGTCCGGCTCAAACATGTAAGGCCGGAAAACATTTCCCTCAGCAGTGGCCATCATTACAGGTGTTTCTATTTACAGGTGTTTCTATTTTTCTATTTGCCATAGCAGGCTACAGCATACATGACCCTAGTTACCTGTGGTTGTTCTGGCCGTGCGTCACTCAGAAAACAACAGGCCAATCAGAAGAGAGGCTCATGAATATTAATTAGACAAGCCAAAATCAACCTATTCTAAGCAGAGCTCCTGAGAAAGGAGCTGTAAAAATATATTTAGATGGTTTTTGGTACTTATATCGCAAATATATATTCTTAAGGACATCAAAACCTAAAATAAAACTCCAGAAAGGTGTATAATATGTGACCTTTAAGATAAATCACTTGTATTTTCCATTTTTTCAATTTTACGTCATTTGTAAGTTGATTTGGATAAAAGCATCTGCTAAATGAATATATTTCATCAAATATACATTGGTGTAGACTGACATTCTTAGGAATATTTTAGATATATTTTTTTGGTCCATTTAAGTGTTTTAATCCCAGCAAACCTAAATACCACATTTTAGTAATAGTTATTTTAATATATTGAAAGTAATGTTGATTATTTTATTAATAGTATTCTATTCAATATTATTATGCAATAATAGTCTAATATATTTCTACTGTAAATTCTTTTTGACTTGTTTATGTTGAGAATGGCCAAAACTGTCTACCAAAACTAAGTACAAAACACAAAGGTTGATGATTACGCTACAGTAGTGCCATGTTATGACAAAAAACTAGGAGCCAGTAAATGAATGGTTTGAGACCTTTGATACAGTAGTATATGTCATTTACGTTCATGCTCGTGTTTTTAATTAATTGTACAAATCTTCACTCTCACTTTCAGTTCTTGTCAGCTGATCAGTCAATCCAAGCAGTTTATTCTGTAACAATTCAGGCTGTTGCGTGTTTTGTCACAGTAACTCTTGAAATCCTAAAAACAAATTCTTGTGTTCAGTGATCTAATGGTACTTGTCCTAAATGCGCTTAATTTTATATTTATTTTTCTTTTCTCCACAGGGTAAACCGTATGTGTTTGACAGAGTTTTCCAGTCCAACACGACTCAGGAGCAAGTGTACACGGCTTGCGCTCAACAAATTGTCAAAGGTAAAAGCAAAATTGTCACTTAATAGACCTCTAAATTAAAGCAAAAGGCAGAACATGGAATAAGTCTTGTGCATGATTATGTTCCAACAGATGTACTTGGTGGCTATAACGGAACCATTTTCGCCTATGGTCAGACATCCTCGGGCAAAACGCACACAATGGAGGTGAGCGAGAAATACAGTTGACATATCTCTGTGCAAAACACTTTTACATAATCACATGTAAATATGAATATTTTCCCCATACCTTATGTGTGGAAGATCTATTCATGTGTCAAATGTACTTTCATTTTTAGGGTTGTTTGTGAGTGTATAGCAGCTTGTGCAACTTGGAATTAGTTGTATTGGATTTGTGTGATGGTCAGTCAACTGGCTTTGTAAAGTCAAGTTCATTTATACAATAGTATTATAGGTACATTTATACAATACAAATTATGTAAAAGCAGCTTTACTGTGAAATACTTGATTGAGGCTTAAGGTGTTCAGTATACAAATGTTTGGGGTCGGTACGATTTTTTTTTTTTTATTGATACGTTTATTCAGCAAGGACACATTAAATTGACAGAAGTGACAGTAAAGATATTATTTAATGGTACAAAATAAGAAAATGTAATGCTACTCTTTACATTTTCTGTTCATCAAATTATTCTGAACAAAACTGGTGCTGGTTCTGTATATTTTGCTAGATATACATATATATTTAAAATAAATATATATATATATATAGAATAAATTTTACTGACCAAACTCTTGAGCTGTAGTGTGAACAATGTAATGGAGCAAACAGGTGTCTTTACACAACGTTTATTCTACTTTTATGAATGAGAGATATTGTGGTTGTTCTTTAGGGAAATCTTCATGACACAGATGCAATGGGAATCATTCCCAGAATAGTGCAAGACATCTTTAATTACATTTACTCTATGGATGAAAACCTGGAGTTCCACATTAAAGTAAGACTTTACCTTCACACACTATTTTATTAACTGTCTGTCTTCTTATTCTTTAAAAGCTTGACATATTGCTTCATGTTTGTATCTGCTCTCTTGATGGTGTTATTATTTTATATTTTTGGCAGGTGTCATATTATGAGATTTATCTGGATAAGATTCGGGATCTGTTGGATGGTGAGTGTGGTGGCTGTTTAAAGCCTCACATTTGCTAGCCGCTTGATCTGAACATAATTAAAAAATGTATTTATAATTCAAAGGTAGTAGAACTATAAAGCTGCTCTTGTTGTGTCTTAATGTCTCTCTCTCTCTCTCTCCCTTTCTTTCTTTCTCTCTCTCTCTCTCTCTCGTTGTCTTGTAGTTTCAAAAACTAATTTATCTGTACATGAAGACAAAAACAGGGTTCCTTATGTCAAGGTGAGTTCCTGGAACCTGATGTCCCATCACTGTGTCACCAGTGTTCCAGTGTCCCATTAAAATCCTTACACAAAGTGGCAATTACCACTGATCTTTAAAGAATGTAAGTTGTTTATTATAATTGTGTGTCTTCCTGGTTTTAGGGCTGCACTGAGCGATTTGTTTGCAGTCCAGAGGAAGTGATGGACACTATTGACGAGGGAAAATCCAACAGACATGTAGCTGTGACAAGTATGAATGCACAGACAAAAATAGAGAATACATATTTTCAATAAAGAGAATAAAATATAAGTACCTTTCCATAAATAGACTAAACCAGATCCTATGAGGAAACTGTAACATCTGCATCCTTCATTTGAGCTGATGCTTGTAAACAATGTTATGTGGGTTTAGTGTTAATAATGTCTTTGTGTGTGTCTCAGACATGAATGAACACAGCTCCAGGAGTCACAGTATCTTCCTGATCAATGTGAAGCAGGAGAACACGCAGACAGAACAGAAGCTCAGTGGAAAACTCTTCCTGGTCGACTTGGCAGGCAGCGAGAAGGTGTGTGTGTGTGTGTGTCAAATTTGTCTTGTAGTGCAGTAAAACATGAGCTGAGTGTGTTAAACTTTTGTGTTCTCTCACAGGTCAGTAAAACAGGAGCTGAAGGTGCTGTACTGGATGAAGCCAAAAATATCAACAAGTCTCTGTCGTCGCTGGGCAATGTGATATCGGCCTTAGCCGAGGGCTCGGTGAGTCACACACACACACACACACACACACATACACACATACACACACACACACACACAGAGACGCATATGCTTACAGGCTTTAGATCAGTTCTGTACACTCTTTGTTTTGTAGCGTTTAGGTCCTGGAGCTGTGAGGCTAATGTGTATGAGTTGTGTTCAGAGATTCACTTTAGCTTTGTCCATTTCAGTTTTGCTGTTCTTTATCGGTATGACCAATAATGCTACTTGTGCATAACCAAAGGACAATATAATGTAACATAATGAATGTATAATTAAATTAATACAATTTAAGATAATTTAAAATAATACAGTTAATTAGTTAATTTTCGGTTTCGGCTGAAACAGTTTAGTAGGGCTGAAACCATTGACCAAAACAGTGACGTTCAATTAGCGCTTTTCGGATGCTGTGTTTTGACTGTAATTGTCTATTCCATGCACACGATGTGGATAAGCTACAACGGATAAACATGTCAGCTGCGTGGAGACTAGGGCTGAGTTGACAATAGTGATTTGTCATTTTTAATTGATCTTCATTTTGATGCCGTTTTCAGATTTGAACAATTTTTTGTTTTGTTTTGTTTTTTTATTTCCCTCAGTTGTGGTCATGGAGCTTCATTATACATTTAAATCTGCTTTATTAATATTCGATCTAATTTTATCCTGAATCTCTCTTTATTTCTTTCTCAGACATACGTTCCATACAGAGACAGTAAAATGACAAGGATCTTGCAGGATTCTCTGGGTGGAAACTGCAGGACCACCATCGTCATCTGCTGTTCTCCTTCCTCATACAACGAGTCCGAGACCAAATCCACCCTTATGTTCGGACAGAGGTGAGGAGACACATTCATGC